AACAATTCTCATGGTGCCAGATCCAGTCAACCTTGCTTTGTCCTCCTGTTACTTCATCTCTCAACAGTATTTAACCCAGCTATATTTTCCTTTTTGAAACATTTGCCTTTCTTGGATTCTGTGACACCACACTTTCTTTGTTTTTACTCTGATTGCTGCTCTTGGTTAACTTCTTATCCTCCACTTAATTGCTAAATATTGAAGGGACTCTCTGGGTGATTTCATCTAGTCCCAGTGATTTAAATAATGTCTATATCCTAATGAATTCTACACTTATATCTTGACCATATCCAGTCTTGAACTATGCCATGGGCTCCAGAAACGTAAAGGTAAATTTATCTTCCCTCATGACTTCTCCACCTGGATTTCTTTTTTTTTTTTTTTTTTTCTTTTTTTGAGATGCAGCCTCACTCTGTTGCCCAGGCTGGAGTACAATGGTGTGACCTTGGCTCACTGCAACCTCTGACACCTGGGTTCAACTGATTCTCCTCCCTCAGCCTCCTGAATAGCTGGGACTACAGGCATGTGCTACACGCCCAGCTAATTTTTGTATTTTTAGTAGAGATAGGGTTTCACCATGTTGGCGAGGCTGGTATGGAACTCCTAACCTCAGGTGATCCACCCACCTCAGCCTCCCAAAGGGCTGTATTACAGGCATAAGCCACCATGCCTGGCCATCCACCTAGATTTCTAACAAACATCTAAAACCTAATATGTCCAAAATAATATTTTCCCTCAAAACAGTCTTCTCAGTCTTGATAAAGGATAGAATCATCTCACTCAGCTGTTCAAGAAGAAAACTCAGGCATCTTCCTTGCTTCCTCTTTTGCTCATCTCCCATATCCAAGTCAGTAAATTCTACTAAATTCTTTCTGGAATAAATTATCTCTGAATTAACTACTTTTCTCTATTATTTTATTTTATTATTTTTATTTTTTCAAGACAGAGTTTCACTCTGTCGCCCACGTTGGAGTATAGTGGCTCGATCTCGGCTCACTGTAAACTCCATTTTCTGGGTTCAAGCAATTCTCCTTCCTCAGCCTCCCAAGTAGCTGGGATTACAGGTGCCCACCATTGTGCCTGGCTAATTTTTATACTTTTAGTAGAGATGGAGTTTCACCATGTTGGCCAGGCTGGTTTCGAACTTCTGACCTCAGGTGATCTGCCCACCTTTGCCTCCCAAGGTGCTGGGATTACAGGCATGAGCCACCATGCCTGGCCCTCTTCTCCATTTCTATTTCCACTGCTTTAGCCCAAGCAATCTTGCTTAGATTTTTCCTTTGGCTTCCTAACTGGTTTCCCTGCTTCTATCTTAATCTCTCCTATTGTTCATTTTCTAGTCAGCAGCCAGATCCTCTTTTAAAATTATATAACAGATGCCATTTCCTTGTGTAAAACCCTTCAATGGTATCCCACTGCTCTTAGAAATATAAACACCTTCTTGTGGCCTATGAGTACCTATATGATCAAGTCTTCCTCTCTGATCTTGCCTTGAATATTCTCCCCTCTTACAGGCCCATGCCTATAATCCTAGCACTTTGGGAAACTGAGGCAGGCGGATCATGAGGTCAGGAGTTTCAGACCAGCCTGGCCAACATGGCAAAACACTGTCTCTACTAAAAAAACAAAAAATTAGCCGGGCATGGTGGTACGCATCTGTAATCCCAGCTACTTGGGAGGCTGAGGCAGGAGAATTGCTTGAACTCAGGGGGTGGAGGTTGCAGTGAGCTGAGATTGTGCCATTGCACTCTAGCCTGGGCAACAAGAGCAAGACTGCACCAAAAAAAAATTTTTTTAAAGCCTTAATGCGTATTAGTTCATTTAGCAAACATTTCTTACCCAATTTGTGCCAAGTACCTAGGTAAACATTGGGTCACATGAAGATGATATTTGCCTTTGAGAAACTTCAGTGAGAGAAAGAGAAATAAGAAATAGTAGAAATAAGTTCAGTGAGAGAAAGAGAAATAAGAAAAATTAAATTAAAACAAAACACTTGGCTGGGCATGGTGGCTCACTTCTGTAATCCCAGCACTTTGGGAGGCTGAAGTGGGTGGATCACCTGAGGTCAGGAGTTCGAGACCAGCCTGGGCAATATGGCAAAACCCCATCTCTACTAAAAATACAAAAAATTAGCCAGGTGTGATGGTGCGCCTATAATCCCAGCTACTCAGGAGGCTGAGGCAGGAGAATTGCTTGAACCCTGGAGGTGGAGGTTGTAGTGAGCCGAGATTGCACCACTGCACTCAGCCTGGGAAACAAGATCAAAACCCTGTCTCAAAAATTAATTAATTAATTAAATAAAACACATTTTCAGAGTTAAGTATTTTGCAGAGTTAAGAGCAATGTGGGGTAAGAGGACAAAGGACAGAGCAAGACTCTGCCAACAGGAATCAGGGAAGGCTTTTACCAAAGAAGGAACAATTACTGGCATGGACTTGAAAGATGGCTAGTTGTGGTTAAGGGTCTAGGGCATATGATCTAGGAATAGATGAAAACTTACAGGCCAGGCATGGTGGCTCACGCCTGTAATCCCAGCACTTTGGGAGGCCGAGGCAGGTGGATCACCTGAGGTCGGGAGTTCGAGATCAGCCTGGTCAACATGGTAAAATCTCGTCTCTACTAAAAATACAAAATTAGCCAGGTGTGGTGGCTCACACCTGTAGTCCCAACTACTCAGGAGGCTAAGGCAGGAGAACGACTTGAACCTAGGAGGTAGACGTTGCAGTGAGCTGAGATCACCCCACTGCACTCCAGCCTGGGCGACAAGAGTGAGACTCCATCTACCCCCGCCCAAAATAAAAGAAAGAAAACTATCAGATCTATATGAGGTCCTCCAATCCCTTAGAAAGACTATCTTAAGGTGAGTAAAGAATTCAAAACAGGCAGCTTGATCAACTATTAGCACAGAGTACAGCAGAAAATGGCCTTAAGTCATTGTAGAGATTGGAGACTGTAAAAACATAAATCGATATTTAGAGCAACATTTCATTCATTCATTCAATGACAACATTTTGAGTATCCACAACTTATTAAGGACTATTGAAAGAGAACAATAAACAAAACCAATCAATTCTGTCTTCATGGAGCTTACATTCTAGTGCAGGATTCAGACAACAAATATATAACATAATGTTAGAGAAAAGAGCTATAATGAAAAAAAAGCATGGTAAGGAGTAGAAAATGTTGGGGCTACTATTTGAAATATGAGAGTCACTAAAGGACTGACTGAGAAGAAGGTTTCAAGCAGAATCCTGAATGATACAATCTAGGTATTGGGTCAGTTACTCAGCTACACAAATGAGGAAAACACATTTTCAGACTCTGCTGACTTCACCAAACTGGCCCTTCACTAAAGTGATGATTAACTAACCCTTTCCATTTATTTTATCTTGATTATTTGACTATGTGTAATTGGTCCCATGATCAGGCAGGTTAGGATTCAGACTACATACGATTTCCCTACTGATCATTAACTAAGCCCAGGTTTATTTATTAACCAAAGGTCTGTTCTTTCTCTTGTTCCTATGACCTTGTTTACATTTCTCCATGAGTCTCAGCTGGATTTTAGTCTCCTTATAATGTTAAACATAGTATATGTCAAATATGATGGCTCAACCAAGCAGCTAAAGGCAGCAGGCACCAAGCCTTAATTCCCCTTATTCTATCTCTAGTGTGGCGACTGAGAGGCAGGACATTGAAGAAAAATTAAATCTTCAACCAGAAAATGACTAAGGATCATCTTCAGGTTTAGTAAAGGGGCACTTTCAAAAGAATAAGAAGTAAGAGTATAGAAAGGGAACAGTGATAAAATATCAAGAAATATGCCAAGGTAGGAATTCTATGAGGCTACAAAATACTCAAAGAGAACTGGGGAGTAGAAAGAAAAAAACAAAGTTTTTACAACTTGACAACTCTCTCAAATGGTTGTCCCGCCTTCTCTCTGCCTTCTACATTCCTATTGCTCCTAACCAAGTCAATTATATGCCAACCTATCATGCATCAAGAAAAGACAAATATTTCCTAAAATTCAGGCAACCAGTTATGAACACTAGATGAAGAGCTAAGTATTACTAAATAGGGTTATTGAAAAGTGAGAATGGGAAACAAGAAATACTCATATGAACTTAGTGCTATAAGGTAATGGTTGAGAGTTAAACCATCAAACCCATTGTTTGCAGGGTCAGGCCTATATACTCAGAGCAATTTTTAGAAGATGCATCTATCTGCTGAGAAAGATGATAAATCTCTCTAGATAACCGGGCATGGTGGCACATGCCTGTAATACTCAGGAGGCTGAGGCAGGAGAATTGCTTGAACCTGGGAGGCGGAGGTTATGGTAAGCCGAGATGGCACCACTGCACTCCAGACTGGGCAACATGGGTAAAACTCCATCTTATGAAAAAAAAAAAAAAAAAAAAAAAGCTGCCTAGAACAATCTTTAGTCTTAGAAATTAATTAATACAACTAGGAAATACAAGGCAAGATGTTAGCTACATAGTGGCTTTTACAGCTTATCACAGAGTCTGGGTCAGTAAACAGTTAACTGATTGAAATTTGTATCAAGGAAGAAAGCAAAGAGAGCAGTCATCTCCCTCCACTGTGTACAAACGCAGTTTAAAGAAATCCTTTTTATTTTTATTTTTTTGAGATGGGCAGTTTTGCTCTTATTGCCCAGGCTGGAGTGCAATGGCACGATCTTGGCTCACTGCAACCTCCACCTCCTGGGAGGCCTGCCTCAGCCTCCCAAGTAGCTAGGATTACAGGCATGTGCCACCATGCCCGGCTAATTCTGTATTTTTAGTAGAGACAGGATTTCACCATGTTGGTCACACTAGTCTCGAACTCCTGACCTCAGACGTTCAGCCCACCTGGGCCTCCTAAAGTGCTGGAATTACGGGTGTGAGCCACTGTGCTCAGTGAAGAAAACCTTTGATAAAGGAATAAGATACAATTACAGTTTCCCTGGAGAATCAGATTTTCTTTGCTTTTGTTTCTCATACCTGAGAGATGTGACTAAAATACTGCAAAGCTGTCTCCACAGGACTTTTGAAAAACATCTTCTCTTGAGGTTTCAGCTAGGAAAAGAGAAACACAATGGAATAAAAATACTGACTAATATGACAAAGGATGTACCACCTTTTCTAATGTACCTGGTATTATTTCCACTGTGTTTAATAGGGAGATCACTGCTGTTTTCAATGTAGATTACATGTCCAATTCTCCTTATCTTGTGCTTCTGTAACAGTAGTCACAAATAATGCTTCTACCTGTTGTTCATACTTTTTTTTTTTTTTTTTTTTTTTTTGATACAGAGTCTATCTCTATTGCCCAGGCTGGAGTGCAGTGACCCAATCTCGACTCACTGCAACCTCTGCCTCCTGGGTTAAAGTTATTCTTTTGCCTCAGCCTCCCGAGTAGCTGGGATTTACAGGCACTTGCCACCATGCCCAACTAATTTTTGTATTTTTAGTAAGGCGGGGTTTCACTGTGTTGGCCAGGCTGGTCTCAACTCCTGACCTCATGATCCACCCACCTTGGCCTCCCAAAGTGCTGGGATTACAGGCGTGAGCCACCGCAGCTGGCCTGTTCATACTCTTTTTTACAAACTGCTATCTGCAAGTTTGTTTCTTTTCTTTTATTCTCTTCTTTTTCTCTCTCTCTCTCTCTTTCCTTCCTTCTCTCTTTTTTTCTCTCTTCTTTCTTTCTCTCTTTCTCTCTTCTTTCTCGTTCTTTTTTTTCTTTCTTTCCTTCCTTCCTTCCTTTCTTCCTTCTTTCCGTCTGTCTGTCTGTCTTACTCTGTAGCCCAAGCTGGAGCAGCACAGTGGTGCTGTGACATGGTAAAAGCCCCATAAAACTGCATACCTCAACCATACCTCGGCTTTCTGTTTAAACTGCTCTCTGTAACCCTAAGGTGACAGGCAAGCAGTCCAAGCCCACGCCATCTTGGTCCCTGCGACTTGTAATAAGTAACTAAGGTCTATAATTTCCACCCTACCCAGGCAATGTGTAAGGCTTATCTTAGCTTCTGTGAACCACTTAAGTAACAATCAGAATGTCTGAAGCCCCTCACCCTCACCCCTGCCCAGGAGGTGGTTTGCAGAATGACCAAAGTCCACTGGCCCTCGGAATGTCCAAAGCCCCTCACCTCCACCACTGCCCAGGAGGTAGTTTATGGGCATAAAAGGTCTTGACACCCTCCTTTCGGGGCCACGGGTTGGAGAGAGGTAAGTCCTCCGTGGCCACCAACAATAAAGACCCTACAATTTAGCATTCTTTTGTCTTGGTGTTAATTTTCTATGCTCGCTCTGTTACAACAGTACAATCTGAGCTCACTGCAACTTCTACCTCCTGGGCTCAAGTGATTCCCAGGCCTCAGCCTCCCAAGTGGCTGGGATTACAGGCCTAGACCACCATGCCTGGCTAATTTTTTGTATTTTAGTAGAGATGGGGTTTCACCATGTTGCCCAGGGTGGTCTCAAACTCCTGAGCTCAGGCAATCCACCTGTCTCAGCCTCCCAAAGTGCTGGGATTACAAGCATGAGCCACTGCGCCCGGCCTTCTTTTCTTTTGTTTTAAAAGAATTCATCATCTGTACTTTGTGTATACTTCCTACAGGCCAGAAATTGAATGAGATGATTTGTGGCAGGGGAGAAAAACTTACATTATCAGAAAGAGCCAGATGTTTGCAGGCAGTTCCGCAAACAGCACATTTTTCTGGGAGGGAAAAAAAATGTTGGGTTCTTATGAGCATGAGGTAAGATTTAAAGACTCAAAGTACATGGCAACAATCTAGTGTGCTAGCAAGAGAGGAAAAAAGGGTTCTTACTGAATTTAGAATATCATTGTGCTATAAAAGGACATCAACTTAAGCTGTGTTCTCTAAACAAGTGTTTCCAAACTAGTATGTTGAGCTACAAGAAGGGCTTTCACACTGTACCTCTACCCATCTCTCTATCTTTTAAATTTTATTTTACATTTATTTTGAGACAGGGTCTTGCTCTGTCACCCAGGCTGGAATGCAGTGGCACAATTACTTCTCACTGCAGCCTCAACCTCCCGGGCTCAAGTGATTCTCCTGCTTCATCCTCCCAACTAGCTGGGACCACAGGCGCACACCATCACTTAAGTTAATTTTTATTTTGTTATTATCTTTAGAGATGGGGGTCTCCCTATGTTGCCCAAGCTGGTCTTGAACTCCTGGGCTCAAGTAACCTCCTACCCCAGCCCCCGTGAAGTGCTGCATTTATAAGCATGAGCCACCATCCCAGCACCCCCCACCCCATCTTTTTGTAAATTCCCAATTTTCTTCTGTGGGACAGAAGGGACAATTCTAAACTCCCAGCAAAAGTACTGGAGTACATTTACAAGAGTAGGGAAGAGTACAAGATACCAATGACCTTAACTTCAAGTTACTCTTTTTTAATCCATTGACCTGACAGCAGGCACACATTGAGTACTGTAAGAAACTCCCCAGTTATCCCTGCCTTGTCATCACTTTGCTGGTATTTGTTAATCTTGCTTTGAAGCTCTGCTACTCTCATTCCCCAATTAACTCAATCTGAAAGAAGCAAAAACTGAGATTCCTAATCTTTCACAGTAAAGTGAAATTTTAGTAGTGGGACTGGTTATTGATTAAGACAAATGCCATGTCAGGAGAAAACATCACATGGCATATGCTTCACAGAGACAAACCACTCCAAAGTGAGCTGCTGTTACCATAGTAAACAGCTTTTTACATTAGCAGACAACTTTAAAAGGTCCTGAGATTTGCACAGAGAAAAAAAGCTTCCCCAGAGGCTACTTGACTGTTCTTTATCTGGGGACTAAAGGTTTTTCCGCAGTCCATATTGTTGCCAGAGTGAGCTAGCAAGTGCATATCATTCTTCTCTTAAAAAAAAAAAAAAATGGCTCACACCTGTAATCCCAGCATTTTGGGAGACTGAGGCAGGTGGACCACTTGAGGCCAGAAGTTCAAGATCAGCCTGGCCAGGGTGGTGAAACCCTGTCTCTAGTAAAAATACAAAAGTTTGCCAGGCATGGGGGTGTACACCTATCATCCCAGCTACTCAAGTGGCTGAGACACGAGAATTGCTTGAACCTGGGAAGCAGAGGTTGCAGTGAGCCACTGTATTCCAGCCTAGGCCATGAAGTGAGACTGTCTCAAAAACAAAACAAAACAAAAACTTTCACAGGCCTCCATCACCTGCAGGATAAATTTCAGACTCGTTAGCCCAGTGTATAGCTTTCCATCGTCTGGACACTGCCTACTTCACCAGCCTCATCTCACCACTTCTTACCTTACTGTTTATACTGTACCAATCCCAACTATGTGTGTTCCCTGCAATATGGTTTAATGATGTAATATGTTTTTGAACATGCTGTTCTCTTAAACTAGAATAAATCTTCCCTGCTTTATCCACTTGGCAAACTCCAGTTTATCATTCAAAATCCTATTTAAGCATCTCTCTTTCTGTAAAGTGATCACTCTTCCATGATCAAAGCACCCTACCCCAAGGCCATCTTCTGAGGATTTACATACCTTGTAAGTATTGCAGCATTAAAACAAACAAACAAACAAAAAAACTTAAATTTAAGTCTCCTTTCTAAGACTTAATGGCAACGAGAACTTGCCCAAATCAGTTATCCTCTCTGAGCCAGTCTCCTCATTTGCAAAATTGTTCTACTAATAATTACCACCTGGACTTGTGGTGAGGATTACATAAAATGGTACATATGAAACTGCTTTTTAAGCTGCAAATGTACCATCATTTCAAATCAAATTGATGTCACAGACTAGACCACTTCCCCTTTAGAAATGGCTCTTCTAGGCTGGGCACAGTGACTCATGCCTGTAACCCCAGCACTTTGGGAGACTGAGGTGGGCGGATCATGGGGTCAGAAGTTTGAGACCAGCCTGGCCAACATGGTGAAACTCCGTCTCTACTAAAAAGACAAAAATTAGCCAAGCATGGTGGGGCGCACCTGTAATCCCACTATTCAGGAGGCTGAGCCAGGAGAATCGCTTGAACCCAGGAGGCAGAGGTTGTAGTGAGCTGAGATTGTGCCACTGCACTCCAGCCTGGTGACAGAGCAAGACTGCATCTCCAAAAGAAAAAAAGAAAAGAAAAGAAATGGCTCTTCTATCAGCCAAAATTTCCACTATTAATATCCATTATACTTATTCTCTTTTCCCTAAAGAGTCTGATGCCTTGTGGCTTTCCCTGCCAGACGTCAAAACACTAACAAGTACATTTTGGTCCTCAAGTAATAGATTTGCTAAATCATTCGCTAAATAATTTAGCACCATTCTTTATTAATGGATTCCTTCAATTTCTAAAATTGACAGTTTCCTATAGTATCCGTATCACCATTGACCTAATAAGTGGTTTTTATTCTAAGTCACACATAGAAATGGCTAATCCTTACATGAAAACATTTTTCCTTGAATCTGAAAACAGTTGAGTCACTCACCCAGAGTCACACACTTTTTACAGAAAATATGGCCACAGCTGGTGACAAAGAAATGGGCTCCATCTTTTCGGAAGCACTGGTTGCAGTGAAACCAATCCATTCTGGAGCAGATAAAGAGAAAGAGTAAGAATAACCTAGGGTATAACATAAGTATAGCTGTTCCAAAATCTATGTAGCCATGCTTGCTTAGCTTCTGATAGCTTTTTGGGATGTAGACATATCATTGTGGGTATTCCAATTGGTTGTAAGGAAATACATGTACCTATAAAGTGAAAAAAAGCCAACTGCTTTTTTATAACAGCAGACTGTTATAACATTTTTTATATAAATGTGTGTGGATATGTATACGTACACATATACATATATGCATATATATACATGTATATATACGTACACATATACATATATGCATATATATATGTGTACGTATACATATCCACACATTCAGAAAAGTAATAGGACAGACAGTGGTGAGATTTTTTTTTTGAATGGTAAAACTATGAGTATTTGTGTGTATGTGTGTTTTGCCTTTTTTTCCCCCAGGTTTCCTGAATTAATACATGTGCCAATTTTTAATTAGAAAATACAATCCTGGCCAGTCATGGTGGCTTACGCCTGTAATCCCAGCACTCTGGGAGGCTGAGGTGGGCGGATCACCTGAAGTCAAGAGTTCAAGACCATCCTGGCCAACATGGTGAAACCCCATCTCTACTAAAAATACAAAACTTAGCTGAGTGTAGTGGCACACTCCTGTAATCCCAGCTACTTGGAAGGCTGAGGCAGGAGAATAGCTTAAACCCAGGAGGTGGAGGTTGCACTGAGCCAAGATCGCACCACTGCACTCCAGCCTGAGTGACAGAGAGAGACTCCATCTCAAAAAAAAAATATATATACACACACACACACACACACACACACACACGACCCATCCATTTCTATTTTAACAATTTCCTGTGATATCGTGAAAGTGGAGCCAAGAAGAGGTAGTGAACCAGAAGATCACATATTAGCCACTTGGGACACATTTTATCTAAGGGAAACAGGGCTGATGAATGATAGTATGGTCTTAGCTTGTATACTTTCCTTCTACTCTACAGAAACAGAATCATAGGCCTGAAAGGAGCCTTGAAAAATCACTTAATGTTTTGTTCAGTCCCACCATTTTTCAAAAGAGGTACTTGATATTCAGTGAAATTAAATGACTTGTCCAAAGCTCCATCTTTAGTGGTCTCCTGATTCCCTATGTAAAGTTCTTGCTCCCACATTAAATAGCTTTTGTGTTAGACATGGCAACCATATATCCTGTATTTTCTACCAATATCAGTTTAATATATTTTATTAAATACCTGAGTAAATGTGACTTTGTAAGATACTTTTCTTGTGGGATTATTATTATTATTATTAGGAGGCAGTATCTGGCTCTGTCTCTAGGCTGGAGCACAGTGGCAGATCAGGGCTCACTGCAGGCTGGAACTCCTGGACTCAAGCTATCCTGCCACCTCAGCCTCTGGAGTAGTTGGGACTACAGGCACCCACCACCATGCCTGGCTTTTTTTTTTTTTTTTTTTTTTTTTTGTAGCGACAGGGTCTCTGTGTGTTATCCAGGCTGGTCTGGAACTCATGGGCTCAAGTGATCCTCCCACCTCGGCCTCCCAAAGTGCTGGGATTACAGGTGGCAGCCACTGCACCTGGCCTTTTCATAGGGTGTGTGTGTGTGCATGCGTGCGTGCGTGCGTGTGTGTGTAACAGCGGAGGGATACCAACTTCGTAAGATTTTTAAATGAGGAAATTGACATATCAAAAATACAGAGCAGGCCAGGTGCGGCAGCTCACGCCTATAATCCCAGCACTGTGGGAGGCCGAGGCAGGCGGATCACCTGAGGTCGGGAGTTTGAGACCAGCCGGACCAACATGGAGAAACCCCGTCTCTACTAAAAAATGCAAAATTAGCCGGGCTTGGTGGCATGTGCCTGTAATCCCAGCTACTCGGGAGGCTGAGGCAGAAGAATCGCTTGAACCCAGGAGGTGGAGGTAGTGGTGTGCCGAGATCGCGCCATTGCACTCCAGTCTGGGCAACAAGAGCGAAACTCCATGTCAAAAAAAAAAAGAAAAAAAAAAAAATAGAGCTGAGCTGTAAGTAGTTCATACATGTAAAGAAATGATATGTTTACTTTAATAAATATGCTATTTAAGAGTATAATCTTCATTAGTTTGGCTTACCTTAAAATTAAATTGGGAAAATAATCAAAACAGAAGGTAATTTTTTTTCTTCACTAGTCTTTTCCTTCAAATATTTTTTCTACTCGTTTGTGGAGATGTCCGCTAAATGAATGAAGGCTAGCTTGCACCACACTTTAACGTATTTTGCCACATAAGGCAAGATTTACGATAAAAAAAAAAATTTACTGAATAAACAGCTCAACGCAAACGCATCCCACAATGCCTCGAGCTTCGGAGTCCTATTTGTTTGCTCACGCTACACTAACTTTCACCAGCAGGTGAGTCCCGTTCTATATGCTCTGGTTTGTTTAAGGGCAGCAACTGTGTTGACTGGATGAACCCAACATAAAAAAGGCAGTTAAGAGGGTGACTAAGGCGACCCCGTGGGCAAAACTCGCCTGCTTTTTAGAGGCGATGGGGAATCAGCTGTCTCAAATTTCCCAGTTCTTTTTCTGGCTACACTACCTACCCGCTTGGCCGCTGTGATTCCAGAAGGCCTCAGATCTCAGGAAATCATCCAGTTCTCCTCACGAAGAGCTGGAAATGGCGGGAAAATAAACAGCTGGCTTGACACCCACAAGAGGCTGGGCGCAGCGGAGGCGGTGTGTGAGATGTGGGCGGGGCCTGGCGGTGCGCTGGTATACTGGGCGTGGCTCTGTGGCGTGGGCGGGCCCGGCAGAGGCGTTCGCTGGGCGAGGAGCGGCTCGCGGTGGCGCGAGAGGGGTGTAGGAGCCTTTTCCTAGCAGCCCAGGAAAATTCACCTCACTTAGAATATTGAGGACAAATAAACACTATAAACTAATCCCATACACGTTACTGTGGAAACAAAAAGGTGAAAATAAAACCTAATTAACGTTCCAATAAACGATGAGAACGCGTTATAAAATTTGGTCTTAAGGCCAGGCGCCGTGGCTCTCGCCTGTAATCCCAGCACCTTGGGAGGCTCAGGCGGGTGGATCACCTCAGGTCAGGAGTTTGAGACCAGCCTGGCCAACACAGCGAAACCCCGTCTCTACTAAAAATACAAAAATTAGCCGGGTGTGATGGTAGGTGCCTGTAGTCCCAGCTACTAGAGAGACTGAGGCAGGAGAATCGCTTGAACCCAGGAGGGGGAGGTTGCAGTAAGCCAAGATCCGGCCAGTGCACTCCAGCCTGGGTAACAGAGCTAGACTTCGTCTTAAAAAAAAATAGCCGGGTGTGGTGGCGGGTGCCTGTAGTCCCAGCTACTAGGGAGGCTGAAGCATGGAGGCTGCCATGAGCCAAGTTCATGCTGCACTCCAGGCTGGTTGAGGGAGCAAGACACTGCCTCAAACTAACAAACAAAAAAAGAGAGAGAGAGAGGGAAAATAAGATTGGCACCAGATTTCTCCACAGAAGCATTCTATGCTAGATAACAATGAAACAACATTTTCTAGATTTTCACAGAAAGAAACTATGATCCGAGAAATTTATATCCCCTTATATTGTGTTCAGATATAAAGGCCACTAGCAAAAAGCACGCAAATAAGCTTTTTCTGAGGAATCCACTTAGAGTAGTAGTAGTTCTCAAACTTTTTGGTCTCAGATTTTCTTTACATTTTAAAAATTATTGAAGACCCTCCAAAGAGCTTTTGTTTATGTAAATTGTATCTACCAATATTTACCAAGTTAGTTATTAAAAGTGAGAATTTTTGAACATTTATTTATTAATTCATTTGAAAACAGTAATGAACCCATTAAATGTTAATATAAATAACCTGTGGAAAATATATTTTCCAAAAAAAGAACAATTTAGTGAGAAGAGTGTCATTGTTTTAACATTTTTGTAATCTCTTACTATGTAGCTTAATAGGAAGCTGGTGGAGTCCCATATTTGCTTCAGCATTAACTTTTGCAGTACACTGTTTTGGTTGGAGTGTGTGAAGAAGATTTGAACTCACTCAAATATGTAGGGGAAGAAAATGGTATTTAAATAGACTTTTCAGATAGTTGTGAACATTTCTCTTTGATACTACATTAAAATTCAGGAAATCTGAGTTTGTTAAAAGTTAATTGCAAAGTGGGATCTGAAACCGTATCAATGAACTTTTTTTTTTTTTTTTTTTTTTTGAGACGGAGTTTCACTCATGTTACCCAGGCTGGAGTGCAATGGCGCAATCTCGGCTCACCGCAACCTCCGCCTCCTGGGTTCAGGCAATTCTCCTGCCTCAGCCTCCTGAGTAGCTGGGATTACAGGCACGCACCACCATGCCCAGCTAATTTTTTTTGTATTTTTAGTAGAGACGAGGTTTCACCATATTGACCAGGATGGTCTCGATCTCTTGACCTCGTGATCCACCCGCCTCGGCCTCCCAAAGTGCTGGGATTACAGGCTTGAGCCACCGCGCCCGGCCTTCAATGAACTTTTTATAGCCTGTTATATTAAAATTCTTTGGCCTGTCTTGCATTTTAAACGTATCTTTTGCCCATGCAGGATTTTGTAACATCATACATTTAGACCAAGCTGGTCATTTGAAAAATGTTGGTTCAGTAAGTTATATACATTGGAGCATTTTGTTTTAGAATATTAAAAATCTCTGACTCCTGACCTCAAGTGACCTACCTGCCTTGGCCTCCCAAAATGCTGGGATTACAGGCTTGAACCACCGTGCCCAGCCTTAGTTTTTCTTTATATCTTCTATTTCTTTGCTGGGACTTTCTACTTTAAAAAATTTCTATAAATGTTTTTGTAATTGTTTATTGAAGCTTTTTAAAAAAAGATACGGAGTCTCACTATGTTGCCCATGGATTGCATTATAGCATAATACAGCCTTGAACTCCTGGGCTCAAGTCATCTTCCTGCCCTAGCCTCTCAAGTAGCTAAGACTATAGGTACACCCAATTCACTGAAGCACTTTTTATG